ACTGAACCGTGTATACTATGCCCTATCTAGTTTCTTTTCCCCAAATGTGCTGAATTGACCTCTGTTTTCATAGAGGAAAATGGGAGTTGAGAAAGACGGTTCGCAAAATGGAGGAAGTTATGGTGGTGGATTTTTCCACTTGTTTGATTGGACTGCTAAATCTCGAAAGAGATTGTTCTCCAGCAAACCGGATGTACAAGGTACGATATCATTTTTTCAACTGTAAATTATGCGGGAAGCCTTTTCATCTCGTGCTTGTGTTATCACACTGTTGTATGTATTATGTCGTCTTTGAACTACATTTTTGCTTCTCTCCACAGAGCGTTCTAAACAAGGGAATAGAAGTGCTGGAAACTCGCCCTTGACACAGGCTCATCTGGTGAGTGGAACAACATTTGTACATTGATTTCTTTTCCATCTATCTAGATTTATGATTGATTCTTGTAATTATTTCCAGATAGGTTTGGATGAATGTGGAACAGGGCGAAGTATTAAAGGAAGCAGTGATTATAGTTGTTCTTCATCTGTGACGGAGGATGAAGGATGCGGAGTTAAGGTCCCTGGGGTAGTTGCTAGGCTTATGGGATTGGATTCCTTACCGTCATCCCATTTTTCAGATACCTACTTTACCCCATCATTTGATACTCAATCTCTTCAAGAAGCTCCCAGCGATAGGGGAAGTTTCAATTACCGTCATGACTGCCCAATCATGTTCTCTGGTAATTTGCTCGATCCGGTTGATGACCGTGCAGCTGCTTCTTCTAGGAAACCTTCAGAAACAAAGCCTCATAAGATTATTAGCAGGCCGATAGAAAAGTTCCAAACAGAAATTCTTCCTCCTAAATCAGCCAAATCAATTCCAATTACTCACCATAAGCTTCTGTCCCCTATTAAGAGTCCTGCTTTCATTCCGACCAAGAATGCTGCTCACATAATGGAAGCTGCTGCAAGAATAATAGATTCTGTACCTCCAGCTACTACCAAAAGTAAAATTTCATCGATTGGATCTTCTTCAGCAGCACCCTTGAAGTTGCAAGCTCCAAAAGAAAAAATAGATATATCACAAAAAATGCCTCTAGTTAGGTCCTCTTCAGTTAGCTTGAAGGCCAAAGAATTAAAAGAGAAAGCAGAGTCCTCTCATAAATCAGCCAGGTTTCTTGAAACTTCTAGAAAGCCTTTGGAATCAAATGCCTCCAGGCTTTTGAAGGGACAGTCTATGAACAAAAGCTGGGATGGATCTCAAGATTCATCATCATTCAAGGTTTTACCTGATGCGGAATATAGTTCCTCCAAGAACAAAGGAAAATCCATATCACTTGCAATACAAGCAAAAGTTAATGTACAAAGAAGAGAAAATGTGAATACCCATAGCCATAGAAATTTTACTGGCCAGAAACAACAGAATGAGGGGAAGTCAAGTCAGCCCTTAAAGACACAGACAAGCTCTCAGAAAAATCTGCACGTACAATCCTCTGTCTGCAATGCTTCTAATAACCATCCTCTCAAGCAGAATAACCAGAGACAAAACTGCCATGTTGACAGGGTAAAATTACCATCAAAGAAACCAATTTCCAACACTGAGGGAAAGAAATCACTTAATGAAAATTTTTCTTTTAGACATCGAAGAAATGCAGGAAGAGTTGTCGTCGGTTCAAAAGCTGGTGCCAGGAAGACAGGCTTGGACATATCCGACAGGGAAAGGGTAGACTTGCATTCTAATGCAAAAAATCTTCCTAGGAAGAAACGGTCAATCGATCGGGATCAACGCTTTGATAAGAAACAAGCCAGGGATGATATGTTAACTGACAAAATCCAGATGTCAATTCATTCAAATTCAAACAATATTGCCGACAGTTCTTCTAGTAGTTTGGCTCAAGATTGCAGAAAAAAGGGGACAGACATTGTTTCTTTTACATTTACTGCCCCACTTACAAGGAAGGTGCCTGGATCTGATACCTATGGTCACATTGACTCAAAACTTAGAGGGCCGCATGGATCAGATAGTTTGAAGTCATCCTCAATAGAGTGCAATATAATTGGAGAAAATGCCTTGAGTGCACTTTTAGAGCAGAAGTTAAGAGAACTAATTGATAAGGTTGAGTCCTCCTCCCCTAGCATCGAATCTATCACTAGAGGATCTGAGAGTTCTTGTTTATCGACTTCTGATCATCTTTCACCCTCTCTTGATACGCTCGATACGTTGTCCACAAAGTTGAATGAGACGATCCAGCAAAGTTCGGTTTGCAGCAAGCAATCTGGTCTATATAGTTTTGATTATTCTTCTACTGATTCTTCGTTACAAGGATTAAAGCAAGAATTCCCGGTATGTGAACTTTGTCCTCAACTTTTTGAATTTTTCATGCACTTTTCTGCATTTTTTTTTTGCATCACAACATGTTTTATTACCTGCATTGTCCATTTTAGTGCTTCGATGGGTCTTATTAAAATGTCCCTTACATGATTGAGAACATACGTGTTTTTCAGTTAGTTCATAGGATTGAAGAATGTAGCAGTAATAGTATTGATGCTGATGCTGAGCAGTTGCTCAAAGTTCGACATCCGAGTCCCGTCTCGATTCTTGAACATTCGTTTTCATCTGAAAGCTGTGACTCATCAGATAGTAACAGCAGAGAAGGTAGATGATTTTGTCGTACCAAGCAGAAATTACTCCTAGTTGCGCATTGCATATGACATGACTAAACTGTCTTTCAATTTAACAGGAAACAAGTTTTGTTCATCAATCCAAGGCCAAGATGTTATTGAAGCTGATGCAGAGTTGCTTGATTCTGCATCCTCCTTAACCAACGAAGCTCCAACAAGTAAGTTCAGTTCATCAATCTCGAAATGTAGTACAGGACGTACCGTGTGGGAACTAGAATACATAAAGGACATACTCTGTGATGTGGAGTTGATGTTCAACGATTATGTATTGGGACGCTCCCGTGAAGTCATAAACCCTTATCTATTCAATATATTAGAGAATCAAAACAAAGGATCGGAGCAAAGGGTTAGACGGAAGGCATTATTTGATTGCGTTTGTGAATGTTTGGACTTGAGATGTAGACAGTACGTAGGCGGAGGGTATAAAATGTGGGGAAAAGGATTGGGAGTATTGGGAAGAAAGGAACAGTTAGGCAAAGAGATTTGGAAGGAGATTTCAGAGTGGAGCGGAATGGGGGATTGCATGGTGGATGAATTAGTTGACAACGACATGAGTTGCTGGCATGGACGATGGTTGGACTTTGAAGTTGACGCTTTCACAATCGGAGTCGAACTCGAATCTCAAATTCTTGATTCTTTAGTTGAAGAAGTGCTTGGTGATATCGCCATTCCTTAAAAGAAGCCACCCAACCATATTTTCCAGGTATTCTTTCGGCCCCTAAATTTAATCGTATCTTGAAATGTTTCTTGTTTGGAATTCAAATTATTATATTGTCATTATTGTGCTCGAATGTGAATTTCGCAAAAAAAACTCTTTAACACACGCACAATAGGATTGTAGAGCACAGGACCCTATCCTGAACCATTAGCCTAATCCTCTTCGTCATTTAATATAGTATTTTTTTGGTGTCTTTTTAGTTAGGGAGGGGGAGATATCGTAGGCCTGACAAATTATTGAGAATGGGCTTTTTCTTTTTCTTCGGCTTCAAGTTTTAGATGAATTATAATCTACTAGCATTAGTCACTGGCCTTATTACAGTAAATTTTAGAGAGATTACCTATAGGAATAAAAATATTGGGCAACATTTCAAAGACATTCTTCTCCTTTCCCATTGGTATTCGCCCAATAAAACCAAGATGATGGTTCTTTGAAATTCTGGCCTAAGACCCCCCCGTCATCTTCCCAGTTCCAATTGAGCCATTCACTGTTGAAATTGGAATTGATTGATGAAGCCCACGCAGAAGAAGAGTAGTACAACTCCTCGCTCTCTATATTTGAACTCCAAACACTATTTTCTCTCTCGTCGATACCTTTTATTGTTTCATCGATCAATTCATTTGATCCCAGTTCCCAAGTTTCCTTTTCCTCTACTTTCGGATCCTTCATAGCTGTGTTACTGGTTTCTTTCTTTTCCTCCTCATCGCTTTTAATTGGTTCCTTCTCCGCACCTTCCAATCGAGAATTGCTTCCCGCGTCGTGAAGTGCTACTTTTGCTATGGAATTAGATTGGGAACTTTCAAGTGGGGTAGTTTGTTTCTTGTTCTTTTTTAGTACGGCTGATTTTTTTGGTCGGCCTCGGTTGCTTCTCTTTGAAAGATCGGCGCTTTCAGGAGCATCTTTTTTGGCGGTGGTACTGTAAATTTTCTTACTCAAACGAGAATTCCAGTAGTTTTTTATTTCGTTATCTGTTCGCCCAGGTAAATTTCCAGCAATAAGAGACCACCTACAAGAACAGTACATAATTGGAAATAAGGGGCAAGGTACGTCTTTTAATTTTAAAATAATGGGTAAATTACAGATTTGACTATGGTTTGGAGAAAGTTAGAATTTAATCTTTCTGATTTTTTAAAGAGTTTTCTTACTTGGTTGCTAGAAACTACTAATAAAGATTATATTGCAAAACCAAATTTATGATGCTTTATTAAACAGAGATTCTAACCTTTTAAACTGTATGAACTAAATTTAATATTTTTTTCAAATCATATAGACTTCATTATACAAGTAGAGAAGGTAGCTATAGGAGGGTTTTTATTTTTCTAAAAGTTAAAAGAGGGGAAAAGCATTAGAGGGAATTTTATTCTAGGGAAAGATAAGTTGGGCAGTAATGAGATGAGAGAACTTTGGGAGAGAATATTTTTAAAATGCAAACAATGATATTATTGAACTAACAACCCCCCTACTTTCAAAAAAATGTGTAAGCCAAGAAAAACGTACCATGAAATTTTTTTTATAAAATGACAAACCAAAGGAAAAAAACGCATTAAAGTTTGATAAAAAGTATGTTTGATTCGAAATAAGGCAAAACATAGAAAACGACAGATTCAAGATGGTTCTCCAAATATTGTTATCATTTTCGATAGTCTTGAAAAAAAATTAGCTGCCGAGATACCTACTCATACGTCTATCAATTCAGTTTACTAATATGTAATAATTTCTGAAATTAGCATAGATAGTCACACCAGTTTACTAATAATTAGCCTTCAATAATTTCTGAAAACACTCTAATATGACCTCTAATGTTAATTTGATGTTAATATTGTTAGTGTGTAATAATTGTTCCCAAGTTGATAAAACTATGAATACTCCTTCCCACTACAAGCAGACTACGATACATGCATAAACACAATTTTTAAAATCTAAAAATTAGAAGAGAAATAAGTTGTTACGTTATAAATTTAATTTTTAAAATCTAAAAACTAGAAGAAAAATAAATAGTTATGAAGGGTACCTTCTAGGTTTCGCCATGTAACTGAAACACCAATCATCATCACTATGTGATAATATGTTATAACGGTGAATAATAATAACTAACCAAATCAAGGGGCCACCATGCGGTATGGTAACTTGCATTTAATACTATGCAGTATGGCCAAAATGAATTAAAATAAAATAAAATAAAATAAATGGCAGTGTGGTAACTTACATTTAATACTAAGATTTCTAGATCATTTACTCATCTAACTAACTAAATCAAGGGGCCACTATGGTTTAATGGGCTGGCTTCCATGAATGAACTATGCACTAAATGACCGCACGTGGAAGATCGAAATAATACTAAAACAAACAATAATTACTAAAATAGAAAATTTTAAATTAAAATATAAAAACTCGGAAAATTGAAATAATACTAAAAAACCAATAATTACTAAAAGAGAAAATTAAAATTAAAAACCTGTAATGACGCTTTTGTTTATTTAAAGGAGAATGATAAGACACGTCAGTGGAAAGAGAATGAAAGCGATGTGTTCTTTCCAACGTCAGTCCCGTGAGGACAACAGAAAAGGGGAATTGAAATGGCACTACATGGACAGTGCGTTACGCGTGGTAGTGCCTCTTTAAAATAAAATAATTATTTTATTATCTTTGTTAATATTTCAGACAATTAATATCGAAGTGTAATGTATCTCCAATTATACCGAGACAATCTTCTCATTTTAGTCATTTTTAAAAACCTTAAAATTAATATATTCTAAATAAGTTTCAAGTTAATTTTTTTTATTAAATTCAGCAAAATAATAATATTAATAATAATAATAATCTCTTTTCAACGAAAGAGATATTGAAATATATTTCAAAAGTTCAGAAAAGAGGCACAGAAAATCTAAATTTATAAAATAAAAAAAATTAATAATATATATTAATATGAAGATTTACTAAATGAATAAGAAGTAAATTTCAAGAAAGACTAGAAATTAAAATAAAACAAGTTACGAAGCAAAATAGTATTCTGACCAATAGAAAACAAAAATTAACAGGCAAAAACTCCTTTTTTTTTAGAGAGAATAATTTCATTTAAAGAACTAATAAGTTGTGGTGGATACCTAAAATATATTCATTTTAAAATTTTATTAAAATAAAAATTAATTATAAAAAAATGCTAGACACTAATTTTAAGACTTATCAAAAGAATAAAAACTAAATTTCAAACACTTGAAAGCCTAGAGCCTCAAATAAATCAAGTTACAAACAAAATAGTATTCCAACACAGAAACAAAATTATCAAGCAAAAGCTTATTTTTAGAAAGAATAATTTCATTTAAACTAATAACAAAATTAACATTCCGTGTTCTTAACATTTTTCTTTTTTGTCTATTTCCTTTTCTTTTCTGTTGTTAATTTTGACTAGAATTCTTCAATACTATGTGTTAGTCATTAATCTGGATTTAGTATACATAAAAATATTATGAAATCACAATGATAAAGAAAAAAGTAATAAATAAAAAGTTCAAATGTGCTCAAAGAAAAGGATTGTGATGATCAAGAAGAGAACGATGTGGACGAGAATAAAAAGCGAAGTCAGTTGGAGAAGCATCAAATGAAATTAAAAGGAAAAAAAAAAGACGAAAAAAGGATTGTGATGATCAAGAAGAGAACGATGTGAACAAGAACACAGCCGAAGTCAGTTGGAGAAGCATCAAATGAAATTAAAAGGAAAAAAAAAAGACGAAAAAAGGATTGTGATGATCAACAAGAGAATGATGTGGACAAGAACACAAAGCCGAAGTCAGTTGGAGAAGCTTCAAATGAAATTAAAAGGAAAAAAAAAACGAAAAAAGGATTGTGATGATCAACAAGAGAACGATGCGGACAAGAACACAAAGCCGAAGTCAGTTGGATAAGCATCAAATGAAATTAAAAGGAAAAAAAAAGATGAAAAAAAGGATTGTGATGATCAAGAAGAGAACGATGTGGACAAGAACACAGAGCCGAAGTCACTAGGAGAAGCATCAAATGAAATTAAAAAGAAAAGAAAAGACGAAAAAAGGATTGTGATGATCAAGAAGAGAACGATGTGGACAAGAACACAAAGCCGAAGTCCGTTGGAGAAGCATCAAATGAAATTAAAAGGAAAAAAAAAAGGCGAGAAAATCAGAAAAGGAGAAAAAATAAAATAAAAATAAAAGTTCGAACGTGCCAAACAGAAAATCATTATGAGGATGAGGAAAAGAATGATGTAGACAAGAATAACACAGCAGGAGTCAATTGTGGAGCTTAAAATGAAAATTACAAGAGGAAAAGAAATAAAATCACAAAAGATGAGAATACAAAAAAAATAAATTAATTAAAATTTCAAATGTGCTATAAAATGATTGTGATGATCAAGAAGAAGAAGAGAATAACAAAACACGAGGTCAGTTGTGAAGCTTCAAATGGTGATTTACTCATACAAATTGCGTTTATTTGAGATTCTATACTCCGATTGAACTTTATTATCGAGGAGTAAAATTATGTTAGAAATTAAAGTGGAAAACTATGTTTGAAATCAAGGTGTAAAAATATGTTTGAAAACTGCAATGCTTCCATGCTTCCTCGCTATCAATCTTAATTGTGAGAAGAAGAAAAAAAAAAGGAGAGAGAAACGAACCGATTGCCGAAAGTCGTGTGCAATTTGAGAATAGTTTCATCTTCTTGTTGAGTGATATTCCCTCTCTTCAAATCCGCTCTCAAGTAATTAATCCATCGCAACCTGCAACTCTTTCCACATCTCAACAGTCCTAAATTTTCACACACACATTCAGGACCAATTCGTAATCATAGACAGAACCAGAAGAAGCCAAATCAATTCAAAATCTCAGACAGAACCAGAAGAATCGCAGTACTTAATCGCACAAAAAAAAAACAAAAACAAAAACAAATATCAAATCGAAATCAATCTCACCAGCATTCTTCGGCAACAATCTCCACGAACCTTCTCCGTTCGCTTCGATATACTTCTTCAGTTTATTGTCTTCCACCGCCGTCCAGCGGCCTCTTCTCAGCCCTTCCTTCTCACAGCACGGTGTTCTCCCCATCCTCATGAACAGACACTTGCCTGAAAGAGATCAGATGAATTGTCTCTCAACGCCTTATATAGACTCGCACATCTTCCTTCACAACCTGCTTTGTTAATGGAAGATCACTCTCTCTCTCTCTAAATTCTCTCTCTCTCTCTAAATTCTCTCTCTAAAATAGTGGAAATGCTCGTGAATGGCATAGGGAGCAGTACCACAGTACATAAGCCTACGACTATGGGCCTATTCTATATTATATAAGGCAGTTATAATGAAGCTAAGAGAGCCTAAAATTGAAAAGAGCTTGTAAAATGTCCTTTTTGCCCTTTGGAATTTGATTTAATTCCAATTTGACATTGGAGATCCCTCTTCGTCAACTTCAAATTATATTTTTAAATTTTCTTTTCAAATTATAAAATCGTTTATTTTAAGCTTAGGAATTAAATATTAGTGGACGTATCAATATTTCACATATTTATTAGTTTGACTTCAAACAGATGAATCATCATAACAAAATATAACCTAATATGAATATAATACTACCATAAGTACTTTAATTTATTTAAAATGTATAAAATATGTATTTACATATCAAAAAAAATTTAAAGATTTTTCAAAAAAGAAATAAGAAATATCCATAAACTATTAATATACATAATCTAGTATATATGGTCGTTGAATAGGCATACTACTTATAAGGTCGAAGATTATTTTCAATCCACAAACTTCATATTAGAACTAAAAATTATTTCACTTTTTATTGTTCATCCTTGCAATAATATATATTAACAATTCTTATACTTTTTTTGTTCAGTTATTTTATATATTAAAAAATGCAATATTTAGAATGTGGTCCTCATTCTGTAGTTTAATTTTCTCCTATTTCCATTCTAATTAGGCAAATGGGTTTGAAATTATATAGACCATAAGCTTTAACCATTATGAATAATTACGTATAAAATTATGAAACCTCGTGGATGTCTACGGTCCCTACAGCTGTCCAAAATCTGTGGTGCCACGTGTTCCATTGGTTGATTTGCCAATTAATCAAATTCATTAAATTAATGATGAAAACTACACTTAAAAGCCAACATGTAAATATATATATAAAATATATTTTTTCAAAATCTCTTTCATTAATGTTGAAAGAAATAATATAATATCGGGAGACTCGGGAGAGTAGAGACGTATTAACATTAAAATAATATAATATCACAAATAACGTCCACAGCAGAATGTAAAGGAAAGAAGGGGGAAGAATTGAAATGAAATGAAGTTATCATCTACACTATATAGCCAACGCTGTTCTTTCAACAAAGGGAAGCCAATCATGGCCACAGCCTGAACTCTCCCAACAATGGCAGTAACTCAACTGGATTTGCAAATTACAAAATTTACAGAGCTGTCGTCGGGGCGAAGTTTAAGGTACTCATTCTCGGGGTGCTATACAAGTTCCCTTATAAAGAGTGTCAGCAATCAAGATCTTACCTTAGATCGATAACGTCAAACTTCGAGTTGGGATTCATCAAAACATGAGAGCAGTGCTCATAGAGTGGACTCCCATCTTCAGGCTCCTCATGGGGATGAAACCCGCGCTGTTGGCAGTTGCGGATGACCGACACACCACCTGGATCGGACAGATGAAATATTCCATATGGACTGCAACAGCATTGGGATATGTTAAACAAATGATGCTACTTAAGAGTGGTTGAAGGAATGGAGGGGAGGGGGAAAACACCTTGATTCATCCGTAGGAGCCATGACGATTGCAATAGCTTCTGGTAGCATAATCTGAAAAAGCCAAACATATTCTGTGATAGGACACTAGGGATAAAAAAACAAAAAAACAAAAAAACAAAAGAGAGTAGAATTGTTATATTACCTGGTACGAGTAATGTGTGTGCAAATCCACAGATGACATGAAACACGTTTGTGATGGGTGTGTCTGAAAATCAAACAAGAATCAGAGACATGTAAAACAGAAGTTTCTCGTATTCCAGTAAATAACGCGAGCTAAACAGAATCGTTAAAAGCCGAAAATTCCGATATTCTCAAGAACAAATATAATAAAGAATGCTTTTCAGTTTTATTAAGAGCATCCATCTCAAGACATCACTACATAGCAAGTCAACTGAAGTGAAATAAACAGAGCTTATTGACTAATAAAGAATGCTTGTTCAGGATAATAATAAGTGTATTGAGCATATCAAGGTTATACGTAGTTTCATTGCTTATGTGGTTGATCTTGAAAAGGGTCATTTTCGGTGTAAGGTTAGAATGTCAGGCCTCTCAAATGTCTATCTAGATTGGGATATTCTTGCACGAGCAATAATATTACAGCAATTCATCTTCTGTTCTATCAGTGTCAGAAAGTGCAATGAATATTAAAGACAAAACTAAACTATTTATGCAGAGAAGTCGAGAAATCAACATAATTTTTATAATTTGGTGTCCCAAATTCTATTTGCATAAAGAGCCAGAAAGCTTACATGGATCCAACCAAGAGGGAAAAGTGATAATCTGTCTTGAACTTCAAATATTTCCTCCTCATTCAACGTTTGGCACTGAATATTTATTTAAAAAAAGAAAAGATAGAATGAGTATTGATTGAATACAACAGTGGTAGCTAACTAAAGCTCAATCAAGTAACCCTCGAGTCAGTTATAACCATATATGAACCAATAGCATAGGAATGTACGTAGAATGTAAAACAATTAAAACTCAAACATACTTCAAGTAGCAGTCAAAATGAAAACCAAACATTCAAGAGCAGTGAAAACCAACGGCGTGGAAGGAATTTCTAATTTTAACTTGAACAGATGAAAAGTAATTATATTCTTACGGAATCTGATGTTGATTCTTGCTTCGGGACTATGAGCGTAGATATGTAAAAAACCCTGTTTTTCTGCAAATATATGATGAAGTATGAGAACAAAACTAGAGAATCTTTACAAATTTACAATAAACCATTAATTTGTTCTTACCAGTGAGCCAGCTAAAACACCACAAGTCTCCAGATTCTTATTTGTATTTTCTCGGGCCAATCTCAAGAAATCATCCAGCATTTTTACTGGCTGCGCCAAACAGTAAAAGTAAACAATATCATATTGGAAGATATACGAAAATCAATTAATTGCTTTCGGAAGATATACGAAAATCAATTAATTGCTTTCGGAAGTTATAAACGAAAATCAAAGAGAGAAGGCCTACAATGTGTAAATGTTGGAACTCAGGTCCATCCTGTGATTGTTTTGCCACTCCAGGCCTTGGATCCGCAACTTTAGATGGGGGAATCGTCGCATATTCCTGCTGAACCTTAGCAAGAACAGGAGGAGGAGAAGGTTGTTTGACCAATGTGAAAGGATCTTCCCTTACTTCTGTTATCAATGGAGGAGTAGACATGTCTGCAGGATGAGGCCAAAGGCCATCGTCTAGCGAGAGTACCGACTTCATCATCGACGTAACACCTCCTGGACCACCATCTTTTTGTGCCGCTAGATCACATTGTTCAATTTGATTCAATCTGCAAGAATTTGAAGGATCCAGATAAATTTTCAAGAAAACATTATCAGAGGAAAACTGAAACAGCAAAATCAAAATATTAATCACATTAAGCTTTCGTTATCAGGAAGGTTGCTCAAAACACAGAAGACAAAAAAAAAAAAAAAAAAAAAAAAA